CTTCCATTGACTCAGGAGACATTGAGTTACACCCTCCTCCACCCCCCCACTCTCCCCATGATCAGGTATTCTTAGTGTAGGATCCTTGACTCCAGAATTTACCTCCAAAGCTGCTCCATCAGAGCCAGAATCTGCTTAATTTCAGGAAAAGGAACAAGGCCCAGCTCCTTCCTCAGGCTTTGGCTAAGGGACTGGTGCTGGGTGGGTAAATTGCTGTGTCACTGTATTTTGGGAGGTCTTGTGTTTTGTTCTTGGTGCCTGACTTTTGTTCTAAAAAGGTCATTAACCATATTAATGGTTGTACACATGCTGTCAAGGTTCCTCCCCCACTCTGAACTCTAGGGTACAGATATGGGGACCTGCATGAAAAACCTCCTAAGCTTATCTTTACCAGCTTAGGTCAAAACTTCCCCAAGGTACAAAATATTCCACCCTTTGTCCTTGGATTGGCCGCTATCACAACCAAACAGATACTGGTTACTGGGGAAGAGCTGTTTGGAAACGTCTTTCCCCCCAAAATACTTCCCAAAACCTTGCACCCCACTTTCTGGACAAGGTTTGGTAAAAAGCCTCACCAATTTGCCTAGATGACTACAGACCCAGACCCTTGGATCTTAAGAACAATGAACAAACCTCCCAACACTTGCACCCCCCCTTTCCAGGGAAATGTTGGATAAAAAGCCTCACCAATTTGCACAGGTGACCACAGACCCAAACCCTTGGATCGGAGAACAATGAAAAAGCATTCAGTTTTCTTACAAGAAGACTTTTAATAGAAATAGAAGTAAATAGAAATAAAGAAATTCCCCCTGTAAAATCAGGATGGTAGATACCTTACAGGGTAATTAGATTTAAAACATAGAGAACCCCTTTAGGCAAAACCTTAAGTTACAAAAAAGATACACAGACAGAAATAGTTATTCTATTCAGCACAGTTCTTTTCTCAGCCATTTAAAGAAATCATAATCTAACACGTACCTAGCTAGATTACTTACTAAAAGTTCTAAGACTCCATTCCTGGTCTATCCCCGGCAAAGACAGAATATAGACAGACCCACAGACCCTTTGTTTCTCTCCCTCCTCCCAGCTTTTGAAAGTATCTTGTCTCCTCATTGGTCATTTTGGTCAGGTGCCAGTGAGGTTACCTTTAGCTTCTTAACCCTTTACAGGTGAGAGGAGCTTTTCCCTGGCCAGGAGGGATTTTAAAGGGGTTTACCCTTCCCTTTATGAGCTTATTTTATCAATAAATATATGCTCCGTAGGCATGTATGATGTGGATTTGTAGCTTAGGAAAAATAAAACCCTTGTGAGAAGGCTGTACTGAAGTGATGACATTCCACACTCACAGAAATGGGTTCTCTACATTTACAACTGGATTAAAAAAAAAAAAAACCTTAAGAATCTATCAGATATCTTTGTTTCTGAAAGTGTCATTCCAACATCGGCGAAGTAATTGCAAAGAAATTAAACCTGACTCCACTCATTTATAAAAGTTCAAATCAAGAGTAAACCTAAAATGAACTCCATTGCCTATAAAAACACAAAGATGTATATAAATTAGTATTTTCCTGATTTTCTCTCCCATGCCCTATGCATGCTGCTAGTCCTCTTAGGGCCAGATCCTGCAACTGGCTTTATCCAGGCACAAAGGTCAGCTTACAGGAGCCAGTCGCAGGTTCAGTGTTCTAGTTGCAAACTCTTCAATGTTTTATACAGTGCCAGGCACAATCCTCATAAGGGCCTCCAGTTGCCACTGTAATATTAAAATAATAATTATTATTGTTATTGTTGAGCCAGTGAGTTACACTGGTGTAAAAATCAATATGAGAGAAGACTATGGAGCCACTGAACAAAAGACAATAGGTTAAAAAACAAAAACTCTTATTAGCTCATTTGTGCCTTTTAGGCCCAAACCATGTTAGACACGGTAAACAGCCATACTAGCACAGTGGGAACTACGGCACTGTGCCTCAGAGTATGTCTACACTAGGGAGACTATGTGTTGGCATAACTATGCTGGCATAGCCCCTTAGAGTAGAAGCACTTACAGAAGGGGTTTTTCTGTCAGTGTAGGAACACCACTGCCCTGAACAAATTTAGCCGTGTTGATGGATGCCCTCTTCCATCAGCATAGACCAGGCCTCTGAAAGAATCAATGGTAAATCAACTGCTGCTCCACCCTTCAGGGGGGTGAAGTCTGCAAGCCCACCTGCAGTTGTCCATATCTAGCTTTAACCTCCTCCCATCCCTTCTGGGTATCTGGCAGAGCTAGTCTGGACAATGCTTACCCTGGTCCATGCATAGGAGGTGCAGGTGTGGAGGCTTCATCTTGCCCTCTTAATGCATCCATGGAAGGCCTACCCTAATCTGGCCCTAAATTTGCTTTTGCAAATATTTGGCCTTTGAGCAAAACGAAACAAAATCATTTTCACCTGCAAAAGACAGTTTGATTTAATGGAAACACTTCAAGGATCTGACCCAACTTTTAATGTCCCCTTTTGAGCGACTGATGCCATTTAGACATCTAACTACTCGATTGTGCCTCCATATCAACTAGTTTGATATCCCTGTTATGTCAACCGCACCCATACATTATGGGAGGCTGGATTTTAAAAATCAGAGCTAGAGTTTTTTGGTACAGTGGACTAGGTTGGTAGCACACTTTCGCTCTCAATCACACCTGTGAGTTACAGAGAAAAAGCTTCCAATGTATGTTGTGTGGGGCAGAGACTACCTCTCTTGCCAGTATTGACAATTCTCACTACATTTGATGTTTAACTTAAAGCCCTAGCTCTTGGAGACCTGTTATTACATGAGAATCTCAGTTTTCAATTTCTTAAAAAGAATTCTTTTAGTCCTCTTAATCCTCCATCTCTCCAGTATGCTGCAGGGATTCTAACTCCCCTCCTATCTCCTCAAACTGGAGAACGAGAGACATAAGGGAACCGGAGATGTGGATTTCCACTTATCTATGATAATGACTCACCGTTTATAACAAAAGCCTTAATGTGGGTTTGGGGATAAGAACCACCTTTTGAGATTTGTGAAAGACAACATATGAAACAATGCATCACAGCACATGAACTCCTGAAGTTCTCCATACACCTACTCTCTTTGCCACAATTCCAAACTTCCTGAAATTTTTTACAAACACGTAGGTTATAAGCTATATTTCCTGTTTTCATTTCAATCACATTCGTAACATTTTTGCAAACAATTGCATGAGCTTCATAGAGTGCTTCAGTAGTAACAAAAAATTCACAAGTTTGTCTCGTTGCTTAGAATTACATTCTTACTCACAGGCTGACTAAGCCAAACTACGTTGTCTCTTGATAAATATATCTCAATGATTGTATATCGTTTCAGACTGCTACTTGATGTTCCAAGGGTATTTTATATTTTCTAGCAATCATCTTACAACATTTCTCTCTTTGTCTTACACACACACAAGAATATCTAATCCAATTACCTTTAATAGGTCATCTCTTTTAAAGGGAGATTACATCTTTTTCACTCATCTGTAAATTCTTGTAATCAGTATTGGCCACAGCAAACAGAATGTTTGAAACAAATGCTTTTCCAGGATTACCCTCATGCTGAGAGAGTGTAATTCATGTGGTATACATGTATATTTAAGCCCCATTAGCTGTCATAATTAAGTCTTTACCTCAGATATTGTCACTGAATGCAGTGACTCGGGTATACATTTAAACCTTTAGAAAAATGCACTCACAGCTGCATCAGTAATTTTGTTCTGCAAACTGACAATCACTGCTATCCTTTAGTAAAAGGACATAGAGGAAAGAAGGAAAGACTGATCCTTGCTTTCAGACACATTTTCTCTCTTTTCCAGTGGTGTCACTGTGCACTGATGCAGATCTTAGCACGGGTTTGCAGTCATGGTGGCTGCAGATCTCCCCAAACAGGCCCTTCTAAAGGGAATAAAGGCAACTCCACTTTCATTATGCAGCTATGAGCAGCCATATATAGCCCAGTGCAGGAAGAAGATGCCCACTCTATACAAAAGGAAAAGTCAGTGGACCCAAAAGGGGGAAGTGGGTGTTTCCAGGCTCCCTTCTGGTTACTCAACATCCCACACCCATTATTCACACAACCAAATCCAGTCAAGCTAACATGTTTCTCCAGTCCTAGAGCACAGATAAAAACAACCCACAGTGGTTGCCCCTAAAAAGAGGCAAGCTTGACTGAGATGGTGTGCATCAGCGAGAACAAACCAAGCCATATTTTCGCTGCTGTAAATGCACTGCAGAACATTCAGAGTAAATCCTACTCTTCCTCCCCTCCCTACAGGCATGGGGCTCATCTAAACTGGAAAATGAGTGGTGTTTTATAATACATTAACTCATTTGTTTATACATTATATACACCACACATTCTCCGAGTCTACCCATGCCACAGAGAGCCCCGAGTGCAAAGGTAGCTGGTACAATTACACTGTACGAGAGAAAGATATGAGGAGCCTGCAAAGCAACTCACCACTCCTATGAACCCACAGTCCTGTAAGGGGCTCCTTTTGCCCCAGACTGCAGGGAGGATTGAGAGATGACCTATAATTAGAGCCAGTGGATTTGCAACTATGCAGATTCAACAGCCTTTCCCCCTGGGGAAGCAGTAGCATGGCATAGGGAGAGGATCCCTTCTTCTCTAACCCCTCCAGCTCATCCCAGTACAGAGCCCAAAAATGTGAGGAGTATTCTGTGAATGAGATTTGGTTTTCCTTGAGCACTTATACTTCCCACTGAAGTCAATAGTGTTGTTACCCAAGGAATGCAGGATTTAGCTCCAGAAGCAGAAATGATAGTAGCTTTCCAACTATTGTGCCTTGTGCTCATCACAGCTACTAACAGTTGAAACTCAGTTAACTGCACTGGGTCAAAGACTGTGTGGGCAAGCACTCCCGTAATGCATAGCACTACAGGTGTGCCTCAATATTTACAGTCATTTCTGTCCTCTTGACTGTGAGGAAAGGAACATATTACCTGCTAAAGCCATTTTCAATTCTTTCAATTTCTTCATCAGTGGTCCTAACAGACAGCCTGTGCATAGCAGGGTAGGAGTGCTGGGTGTTGATTTTAGCCATTTTGCTTACATATCAGCATCCAAATGACAGCTAAAATACAAAAACAACATACTGTAAAGATTGCAATAGAGATAAAATGTGTAAATATTTAAAAAGTGATTTATTAAAAAACAACAACCCTCTATTAGTAGTTTGTAAAATGGCCAGTGATATTTATAAATGTAATGTGGTAACTTGGTACATTTAAACTAGACAGGGCAAAACATTAGTGAATGTCAACAAAGAATAATTCTGCATTGGCAGAGAAAAGGACTAGATGATTTAATAGACCTTTCCAGCCTCTAGCTTCTACAAATACTCACTGACATACATATTTTATATAATAAAATTACATTCAAAAAATCTTGTTAAAGAAACATTTAGGTTGCAAAATCAAGCAAAAAAGTCAGGTAATGTCTGAATTAAGGTTACTTGTGCAATCTGAATTTGGCCCCTTTGTTCATTATGACACAGTCTTTAATTACATGCTCACATATCATTTTTTCCACAAGACCCCCATCTCATTCAGTGCACAGGATGGACAGTGCTCACTGATGGGTAGCTAGTCAATATTTCTTTTTTATCCTCATCATTCAACATGTGGCACTATGCATTATTTACTCTTCACAATCCAAACCCAGCACTGAATGAAAAATTATTCATTTCCTCATGGGCCTTTCGATGGTGCTCTCACTGTAGTGTCTTAGACCCCAATCCTCAAAGGTAGTTAGGCACCTAACTCCCATTGAAAATCAATGGGAGTTAGGTACCTAAATACCTTTGGGATGGAGGCACACACTTGGGTGGTGGGTTTCATAGATATTTGCTAGACAGCAAAGGAATGTTGAGACTCAGAACTCCTGTGTTCAATTCCAGATTCTGAATGGGAGTATACCATAATGGTTACAGACTTTTCTGCACCCCCTCCCCTCCCCAACCTTTCTGTATGCCTTTCGGCTCCTATACCTTGGTCCCTCCCCAGCTCCTGCCCCTGTTTCCTGCTTCTATTTCCTCAACACATGTCCCAGTCTCCTGCCCACCTCCCCCTCCACACACAGAGACACAGTCCCATCCAACCCCATTCCAGGCTCCTGCCCCTGTCCCCAGTGCCTAGTACAATTTCACTCCTTCTGTTCCAGATCCTGGCTCCTGCTCCCCTCTTTCCAGTGAGCTCCTGACTCTGTCCCGCAACCTTCCCTCTCCTCCCCTGCCCCATTCACCATCTCTCTGCATTCTGGTCAGATTGCTTCCTCCTTCTCCACCACACTCTCTGGAAGCACAGGAGGAACAGTCTCCCTGCTCTCAGTACCAGTGCCTGGTGCCAAAATAGCCTTTGGCAGCCAGGAAGAGCAATTGCAGGGAAAGGTGTACTCAGCTTCTGTAGCCTTCAGAAGAAAAATCCTCTGTCACTCTGTGGATATAGCACATGCACAGTCCGGTTGGTTTGTAGGGGTGGTGAGGAGATGGAGCATGCTCAGTGCGGACAGAATCTTTGGAGAATTTAGCTGCCAAACTCTCACATCTGTACTGAGCATGGGCAACTGAGATTTTTTGGAGGCCCTATAATATGGCCAAATTATAACAGGAACGGCAAGAGGCATATCCCTGACACAGATTGCCCCACTGCCCAATTTCAAGCCCTTGCTCCAAAGCATGGAGGCTCTATAGTTTCTCAGTTAAACTTGTCATGTTTTTTTATGTGGGCTAAACACTATTTTTCTTGTTCTCAGAAACAGCTGAACCAATTCAGCAGGAACTTCCCCCCAAAAAAATCAGCCTTAGGCAGACACCCAGCATGCCCAAACAATTTGGCAGTTATAAGCCCCAGAAAATAGGGTCTTATAATGGAACATGTTTGACAACTTTAACTACAGGAAGCACTACCTGAGCTGCCTATAATCAGGCAACACGTGGTGGTGTGGTATAAAGTTTTAATTGGCAGGACTCAAGAATTGCTACATTGTTCACCAGTGGCAAAGTGAATGAGCATCAGTAGTATCTCTATATTACACCTCTCCTTAACGTATTACGTATGTGCCACAGATTTTACAGTATTGCTATTTTACAAATGTTTTAAAGAGTTTCAAAAACCGTGTTTGGGGCTACTTATGTATGCCTCTTCTTGTAAAGTCAGATGCCTTAGTTACCCTTGAAGGGAGTCACGTAGAACTTCAAAAACGACCTAATATACCTCTAAACGTAAAATTGCCACATATTTAAATGTTGACGTCACAGGCTCCTGCAGGTCTAGAAATAACTCCTGTGTCTCTTCTTGGAAACCTGGCAATTTCCCCCTCTGCTCATGTAAACATCCCATTTCTACCTCTATCAGGAGTGGCAGAAGTGCCCTAAAAGTGGGGGGGGGGGCCCACAGGCACCCAAACCATGGTCCCGGTCCCACCTTGCCCTTTCCCACTGACACCCTGCCCCCGCACCGCCTCTTCCCCTAAGGCCCCGGTCCCATGCTGCCTCTTTAACTGGGATTTGGTCCTGCTTCGAGCAGGGGGTTGGACTAGATGACCTTCTGGGGTCCCTTCCAACCCTTATATTCTATGATTCTATGATTCTTTCCCCACCCCTGCTTGCTCCATTCTGCCCCCTCTCCCCTGGTCGCTTGCCCTTATGGCCAGTAAAAAGTGGCAGGGCCATGGCCTCCTGGCCATCCCCTCTCCCCCATTTCAGTCTGAATCTTGTACATCCTGGAACACTTGGCCAATGTAATTTTTGCAGGGAAAAAAATCTGCTGATTGCTGTAAAACACAGAAAAAACCAACGTGGGGGCTCTTTGAATCTACTCAGAGATTTGAAATTTTAGAAGTTCCAATAACAGAGATGAATTCATTCACAGAGTGCAGATGAGATAGTTTTATGCCAATATACATGTAAACACTAGTAGAAATTTTAACTGAGAATAAATTATCTGACAAATGTATCCCTTTTATCTGTTCACAAACCATTTGTCAACCTGACTTCTATGAGTCTATTAGTTATTCATAAAAAGTAACCAAATGTTTTGTTCAAAGCATTTCAGACAATCAGTTACTTACTAATGCTCACCTCAACTCTTCACTTCACTTTATATTATCCCTGATATGTGTTTGGTCACCTAAGTCATACTGTATTGCTTCTGCTTCCTGAAACATCAATCACTAATGAACAGCAAATAACAGAGAACAACAAATAATGCATTCTCAGTATGAATTTTCAGAAGAGGTTATGCTAAAATTATCAAACCTTCAGGATTCAAACATTTTCATAAATTAACTAGTGAGCGGAATACTCACAAACCCCGCCCAAAATATGACCCCATAAATAACTCACCATTATGAAAATATTCATAAATCAATTTCTGAATTATTTGACCACTTCTAGCATATACACACATGCATAAGTATGCATACATTCACAATCATGCACAGAACCATGGATAGACATATGAAGACATAACTGTGATTATTTTTGTTTGTTACATGAATTAATTTGTCTCAATTGCAAGAATTCTGGGAACAGTCATTTCTCAAAATGTTAATTTGTGGTTAATTTCAGGTGGTGAGAAAATGTCATCCTCATTTTGAACCCTCTTGTTGTCTTCAATGATTGCTTCACAGTTCAGTTTACTAAAATCTGCAGATCTATTCTGTGACTTATGCTCTGCCACACTCTGATGATTTTCATCTGTGGGGTCATGAGCCCCAGATGGGCAACAAGGAAGAGGCCATGGTGTCACAGCCAAAATCTCTCCATTTAAAAACAAAACAACATGCCTGTTTGCTGGCAAATTGTTGGACAAAGAGGGAGAGTAAGGGAGAGAAGGAAAAAATTGCTTCTTCCTGCTAATGATCTGCTCCTGCAGCCTCTCTAGCACCTGTTATTCATTTCCATCTCCTTGCATTGTACTAGGCTCTAGGAAAGGCATCTTTCATAGTGTTGCCAGCTGCCTGGATTCTGCTGCTGTCTATGGCCCCCCTGCTCTTAGTGCTAAGCCACTTTCTTTAAGCAGCTTTAGAAGAGCAGAGCAAACTGCAGGGGAGAGAAGTAAGCTAAGTTGACACCCTTTCATCCAGTAGCACCTACCATCCTCCAGCACCCCTAACCTATTTTTAATTTTGCTCTCGTTTAATTTTTTTTTTTAAAATAGGTGATGGGGAAACAGAATGAATCATAGAATAACAGAGTTGGAAGGGATCTCTGGAGGCTATCTAGTCCAACCCCCTGCCCAGAGCAGGACCAATCCCAACTAAATCATCCCAGCCAGGGCTTTGTCAAGCCTGACCTTAAAAACTTCTAAGGAAGGGGATTCCACCACCTCCCCAGGTAACGCATTCTAGTGTTTCACCACCCTCCTAGTGAAAAAGTTTTTCCTAATATCCAACCTAAACCTCCCCCACTGCAACTTGAGACCATTACTCCTTGTCCTGTACTAACAGGATTAGTAATGAATTGATGCACATATCTCTAAGGATCTCTTCACTAGAAAATTACAGCAAGTTAGGATAAAATCTTGAGGAGTTATATTAACTAACATGGCACTGACCACACCTTTGCAGTTGATATTTACCACCACCCAGTTGGCATGATGACAAATATGATTCGTCCATCTACACTGGCTGCAAAGTCATGGTCAGCATAATTTAAAATTCAATAAGTCAACAACCTAAGAGGGTATACATCCAAGAGTGCCCAGGGAGCATAAGTAAGCAGCTCAGGTGCTTCAAACAATAATAAATAATATCTCATTAAGAAAAGCCACCCAAAAATTGGAAGGTAGCAAAATGTTGTATTTTAAACTGGGCTGTGATCCAGGACCTGTAAACTGTACATCTGTACCTGGTAAACTGGTTGAAACAGCAATTAAAAACAGAACAAACAAACACCTGAAATTAGCATGGCTTCTGCAACAGAAAATTATTTCTTACTAATCTCTTAGGAATCTTTGAACTTGTCAATAAAGCAATAGATAAAGAAGAATCAGTTGACATAATTTATTTAGAACTTCCAGAAGGCCTTATCCCACACAAGAGGCTACTAAAGAAGCTAAGTAGTCACAGGGT